TCCTTCCTTCCTTCCTTCCTTCCTTCCTTCCTTCCTTCCTTCCTTCCCTCCCTCCTTCCTTCCTTCCTTCCTTCCTTTTCCTTTCCATTCCATTCCATTCCGTCCCTTCTTTCATTCAGCCAGGGTGGGGGGTAAAGTTGAATGTTGATCCTGCATCAACTTTTAGAAGTCACTTCCCCCCAAATTTCTTTTGCTTTTTTTTTTAGGCTTTCAGCCTTATCATTTGGTTTATATCCTCAGGTTTATACTCAATCCTAAAGCCTTCCCCCGCACCCCTTGACTTTACCTTTATGGTCCTGTCACTTATCAAGTGAGGTTCCTTTGTGACATTTTTTGATCACAGGGTTAACAGGAAGAGAATCAAATTGATGTTTGGAATGAAAATGATAGAGAAAAATTCTCCTGATTTTTTTTCGTTTAGTTTTGCTTTTGAAAAGGAGGATTCTTCTGGCTGATTTCTAGTCTTTGGTCAAACAAGCAGTATGTGGATATTAAAGTTGGGAAGATCAGGTGGTAGAGAATTTGATTGGCCTTTATTTTTTAGAGCAGCTTCTTCTTCCTGATAAGACTAAAAGGTAGTAGGATGTGTTGGGTAGAGAGAGTTTAGGAAGTATAGACCTCTATCTGAGAAGGTCCCTCTCTTCCTTCATTTCATTGTATAAACTGTCATGGTGGAAATCATTTTAAATCTGAACAATTAAACTGTCTACATGCTCTATATTGGCTTATTATCAGTTACATTATCTTCACTTGATTGAGATTATTGGTTTCCACTTTGTTCTCAGTGACCCTTAAACTATATAGCCTAACATGAACTTTTTAATATTCCTAGATACCTGGTTATAAACTAGGACATTCAGATAGGTTTTCACTTTTTCTTCCTTCTGTTGATGCAGTGGAGGTCTAGGCCTGACCAGCTGCTGTGCTGCGTCTCCTTTTGGAGAAAGAAATACTCTTTAAATCCCATGGCTTGGGGCATTTTATACGGTGGCCATGCTGAAAGCTCTCGTGTTCTGAATTTTGAAGAGCATGGAAACCCAGACACGTGGAAATGCCCCTTCCACCTTTCTCCTGTTCACACTGTGCTTGGGACGGTGGCTGTGCCTTGCTTTCTTCCTTGGAAAGAGAGTCTCCATCTTCCACATTCCCACCCAGGGAAAATTCTAGTCTCTAGCTGCCTGGAAATTTGATGTTGAGAGTATCTTCAGAGCTGCTTTGGTTTTGCTGAAAATGGAGAAACATTTCCGCTTCCATCCGCATGCACAGGTATTTCCTAGTACTTTCATGGCTCGTTCAGGGAAACAGATAAAATGGTTTCCACCAAATAACAGATTTATACATTGTCACTATTATTTAGTGTTTTTTTTTCCTTTATTCTTTATTTCAAAAACCATTTCCCCGATGCTTTACTGGGGCAGTTAAGCTTTCTTTTCCTCTTGTTTCTTTCCTTTGTTTTCTTCCCCTATTCTTTTCATGGGTATGTGTCTCTTTTGGTGGTTTTTTTCTTTTCCATCTTTATTTTCTGAACTTACCTCCTGGTTCCTCGTTCCCTGCATGCCACTAACTATTTTCATTAGATATTAATTGATTTGTGAATTCAGGCTGAATTGCATCATCAGCAGATGGCGGATCCAGACTTGTTGGAAGAGTCCTCGTCCCTCTTGGAGCCAAGTGAGATGGGAAGAGGCACACCTTTAAGACTTGGGTGAGTACTGTTTCAACCCTCCATAACTCAGTGGGGTCACATTCATGTTTGCTGTCAATAGAGTAGTGAGGCTGGGCATTCACTTGTTTCCAGGATGTGTTCTCTTTTGAGCCTCTTGAGAGGTATTCCTCTGTCACTTTGGATTCAGTTCCTGAGCTGTTCTGTCAACTCTCTGCTGGTTCTTGGAAGAAAACTTTGGGAGCCCTTTTGACATAACATTGCTTAGTCTTGTGTTGTCATGTTTGCCCGCTCCCCTCACTTCCCTTCTTTGTCTTAAAGCCTTCCAACACATGGCGTGGAATAGAGTTCCCCATCTGGCTCTTCTTCCCACAGTTTCGTGGCTGGTGTGATTAACCGGGAGCGCATCCCTACTTTTGAGCGCATGCTTTGGCGGGTCTGCCGGGGAAACGTGTTCCTGCGACAGGCTGAAATCGAGAACCCCCTGGAGGATCCTGTGACTGTAAGACAAGAAAATTGCGTCCCATGGAGTAGGTCTTGTAAAGGGAGCTCAGAGCAGTAACACTGCATGGTACCACCTGAATCTGACTCTCCCGCAGAGGAGCCCTTATGTGTCCCCCTACCCTGATCTGCGAATAGGAAGTACTGCTCTTTTCCTCTTAACTTCCATCCTCTGTGTACCTGTGATGTATACTGACAGATGCATAGACATTTTTGAGCCCCACCTGTGTTGGTATGATTTGGACTATATGTTTTTTTCCCCTTATTTTAAATTTCAGCTTTATATACTTTTGTTACTTATCAGAGGCCAAAAGAAAATTAACTTTCTATGAAAATTAGAGCATGACATCTGGTTCCAGGTTTGGTAATACCGATGTGTAAGAAGAGGAGAGAGTTCCTCCTCAACTATGAGCTTTATAAGGTGATGAAAATTTTAGTTGGTAAGGTTTTTTGTCTATTTGTTTGTTGGGAGATTTAGAAACTTAGTTTAAAAAAAAATAATTTAATGTGCAAGGTAGGAGGATCTTCCCTACCCAGTGCTTTGCAAAGTAGGAATGGCTGAACATCTTGGCATTTGACATAATGGGACAGAGTTCTTAACATCAACCTACACTAAGTATGGTGAATCCTGATTTCAAGGATCACAAGCAAGGCAGATGAAATGTTCTGCAAAAAAATTTACTTTTGTATTGGTAATATTTGGAAGCCTGGGCTTGGATTTTCTGTTGAAAATTATCTTTTGGATATTCTTATATTAATATCCTTTGCTCCATGAAGAGAGATTGGATTGTGAGACTTCTCAGAGTGGGTGGGTCATGCAGCTGAAATGGTCTGGGCACCTGAGGCTTTTATCCTTTTATCCTCCTGAAGAGGAGAGTGGTGACACTTAGGGTTCGGGGAGCCCCCAGAGGAGCAGTTGTGCGGACCCACCGGAGGCTGTCCTCACATTGTGGGAACATTGCAGTCTGCAGTGACTCCTAATGTGGAGCTGTTCTCAGGAATATTCAGCCAAGTTTCTGGGCAATGGAAACATTATTTTATCAACAAATTGAGGAAAGGGGTCTGGATAGCTACAGTAGAGAGGCTGCACAAGGAATGTGCTCCAGTTTATTCTCCATTCTGGAGAATTTAGGGATTTAAGGCTCTTTGCCTCATTTTCTTCATTCCTCATCTCCTTTTATCCTTCTAAAGTTTGTTTTTTATTATAAAAATTCTAGGAATATGAGAAAATACAGGCAACCAGAGGCAGTCTTGGTTAACATCCAGTTAAGCTAATTTTTCTGGTCTTTCCCTACAGTCCTTGTGTCAGACTTCATGTGTGAGCTTGGTATTTGGAATAGATTGCCCTCCTCCTCCCTGCCCCTTAGATCAAACTTAGCATGAAGCATGATATTCCCCATCAGCCTTCTTCCCAAACCCTCACTTCCTGATAGTTCCTCAGTCCCCTTTAGCTGGTAACTTCTAAGCGTGGAACAAACAGGAACAGCTTCCTTTCCTCACCTCCACCCTTACTCGGGCAGTGTCAGGTCTGAAGTTGAATTGGTAAAAAGGGCTATATGGTGCTACAAGGAGAATCATCTTCGTGTCTGTGTTCAGCTCATGGTTGAGTTTAAAAACAAATATCTAAGGTTTTTTGTGTGAATGAGAGACTACAGGGCAAATGTTCTTATAACAGAGCTTAAATGGATGGAGGACGATAATTCAAGTGCAGGGTTGCCATATCCTTCAGTGAGTCCCGTTGTTCCTATATCACCAAGACAGTAGGGTATTTAAGAAATTTTCTTCCGGGCCAGAAGTCTGAATTCTCTGTTTTGGGTTTGGGGCCCAGGGTGACTACGTGCACAAGTCCGTATTCATCATTTTCTTCCAAGGCGATCAGCTGAAAAACAGAGTCAAAAAGATCTGCGAAGGGTAAGAGAAATGTGCCTCCCTGAGGGGTGCAGCCAGGCTGCCTAACTATTAAGTCTTAGAATATAGAATAGTGAAACAATAACCCTTTTAGTCTACTTTGACACAGCGCATATATCTTTTAATAATATTAGGGCTATTTTAAATAATTAGAAATGACCTAGGTTCGTTTTTAAAAAAGTACTGTCAAAACTGCAATTTCCTTTCTTTGGAAAAAAGTAATTAGAACTCGTGGTTTATAAATGCTACATTGTTCTAGGACAATAGGTTTGTGTACCCAGCAGTGTGCCATAGGCGCTGTGCCTGCACACTTTTCTGAAATTCTATCCATAAGATCTCTTTTCTGTGCCATTTTTCTTAAGTAATTTACAATATGATTTGTATTACTGAGTTTAGAAAAATTTTTTTTATTATGTTATTGAGTTTTTAAAATTTTAATCTAAGGGAATTCAGCAGCTGCAGAGAATGTCAAGATAGTACAAATGTTACTGCTCAATCTATAGGACATTTTGTATTTATTAATGATCAGTGCACCAGTCTGAGCTAATCCTTCTAGTTTTGGTCCTTCTGGTACATTAAGATTACTTTCTGAGGTTATTTAAATTGAACAGGTTAAGAAACTTCAGTGTCCATCAGGCTGTGTCTGTATGTTCCAGGTTCCGGGCATCACTCTATCCCTGTCCTGAGACACCACAGGAGAGGAAGGAAATGGCTTCTGGAGTTAATACCAGGATTGACGATCTCCAAATGGTACCAGAGGGCTGGAGGGAATTTTTTTGTGTGTGAAATACTATAATCGAAGACCGTTCCCCTTCCTTGAAACACTAACAGTTTATTAGGCACCAAGAGCAGCCAGGATGCAAAAAAAGAAGTGTCCATGGGTAACTTGTGCCCTTGGGAGCTGGGGAAAAGTTTCAGGGAATAACTGTTAAAAATAGCGTAACAGCGTTAATCATCCTCAAACATGACGGGAATGCTATATATCTGAAATTGTTGTTGCTTCAAGTATTCAATTTCCCTCTTCATGAGTCTGAGGTATTTTTTGTGAGTAAAAAAGTATACTTAGTTAAGGAAAAAAATCAAGTAATACAGAAGTACATGTGAAGTCAGTTCTGCCCTCTCTCACACACTCTCTCCCTCCAGAGGCAGCCACTCTTAACAGCTTGGTGTGTAACTTCTGGTCACCTCGGATCTTAACCACACGGTCTAGCCAGAGAGTCCTACTGTAAGTCTTGTACCCAAGAAGAGACTATTAGATTTTTACCACATCACCAGTGTGGTTAATACGTTCCATGGTTGTCATGAGGTCCTAAGGACGGAGTCATGATTGAGGCGTACATGGAAGGAAAGTGTGACCAGTTGGAGCTTTGTTCCCTGTTGAAAGGATGTGATGTTTGCCCTCTTGAAACATTAAAACGTACAGTAGTCCCCACACCCCTTTATCTGCGATTTTGCCTTCTGAGGTTTCAGTTACCCACAGTCAGCTGTGGGTCTTAAACATGATCCCCTGATGATGTCAAAAGGTTATAGTAGCCTGGGACGCCTGGGTGGCTCAGTTGGTTAAGCGACTGCCTTCGGCTCAGGTCATGATCCTGGAGTCCCGGGATCGAGTCCCACATCGGGCTCCCTGCTCAGCAGGGAGTCTGCTTCTCCCTCTGACCCTCTTCCCTCTCGTGCTCTCTATCTCTCATTCTCTCTCTCTCAAATAAATAAATAAAATCTTTAAAAAAAAAAAAAAAGGTTATAGTAGCCTAACGCTGCATCACATGCCTACATCATTCACCTCACTTCATCTCACATAGGCATTGTATCCTCTCACATCCTCACAAGAAGGGTGAGTATGGTACAATAAGATATTTAGAAAGAGAGAGACCATATTCACATGACTTTATTATTATACCATATTGTTATAATTATTCTATTATTAATTGTTAATTTCTTACTGTGCCTAATTTTTAAATTAAACTTCATCATAGGTATGCGTGTATAGAAAAAACGTATTATATATAGTTAGGTACTATTCACGGTTTTAGGCACCCACTGGGGGTCTTGGGTTGTGTCCCCTACAGATAAGGCGGCCCACTATACTTAATCTCAAAGACAGTTCTTTCCAGCAGGGGCAGAATTGTCAGAGATATGTTGTAACTCCCATTTCAACTCCCTTTGTCATCTTTCCCTCCAACTCCCATTGTCTGTGACCCACCAACTTGACCTATTTCCACCTCCTCAGAGATACACTTACCTGTTTAACCACGGGAAGAGAGTTTTTAGAACTGCTGATGGGTGACAGGCCAGTTAGTATGTTCTGGGTTCTAGGGCTGTCTTGTCCCCTCCTAGACTTATGTGTAGATTTTTAAAAGGCACAGGCAATATGGTCAGAATTTGATCTTTGAAATACCCAGCTGTATGAACTGAAACTTTATTATTTATTTATTTATTTATTACGATTTTATTTATTTATTTGACAGAGAGGCACAGCCAGAGAGGGAACACAAGCAGGGGGAGTGGGAGAGGGAGAAGCAGGCTTCCCACAGAGCAGGGAGCCTGATGTCGGGCTGGATCCCAGGACCCTGGGATCACAACCTGAGCCAAAGGCAGATGCTTAACAACTGAGCCACCCAGGTGCCCCTGAACTGAAACTTTAAAAAGGGATTGAGGGGTGCCTGGCTGGCTCAGTTGGTAGAGCATGCAACTCTTTTTTTTTAAGATTTTATTTATTTATTTGACAGAGAGAGAGAGAGACACATCAAGAGAGGGAACACAAGCAGGGGGAGTGGGAGAGGAAGAAGCAGGCTTCTCGCTGAGCAGGGAGCCCGATGTGGGGCTCAATCCCAGGACCCTGGGATCATGACCTGAGCCGAAGGTAGACGCTTAACGACTGAGCCACCCAGGTGCCCCAAGCATGCAAATCTTGATCTCGGGGCTGTGAGTTCGAGCCCCAAGTTGGATGTGGTGATTACTTAAAAATAAAATCTTTTAAAAAAATAATAAAAGGGTTGCCTGGTTGGCTCAGTCGATTAAGCGTCTGCCTTTGGCTCAGGTCATGATCCCAGGATCTTGGGATCGAGTCCCACATCAGGCTCCTTGTTCAGCGGGGAGCCTGCTTCTCCCTCTGCTGCTCCTCCTGCTTGTGCTCTCTCTCGCTATGTCAAATAAATAAAATCTTTTAAAAAAAATAAAAAAATTAAAAGGGATTGAATATCAAGGAGTAAGATGTGGGGGGTGGGGGATGGGGAAAGAGCAAAGCAGATAGGGCATTACTTACAAGTTTATCCCCATCCTTCCAGAAGTTTGAATAGTAGTTGTAAAATTGTCAACAGCCAGAAGGAGAGAAAATAACTTTGTTCCTTCTCAGGTGATACAAGAGTTTCTCTAGCATGTGTTTTTTTTAATTTAATTTAATTTAATTTAATTATTTATTTATTTGAGAGAGACAGAGATAGAGCACAAGTTCCTCTAGCATGTGTCTTTTTAATTTAATTTAATTTATTTATTTATTTTAGATTTTATTTATTTATTTGAGAGAGAGAGACAGAGATAGTGAGAGAGAGCGCAAGTGGGGAGAGAGGGAGAAGCAGGCTCCCCGCAGAGCAGGGAGCCCGATGCGGGACTTGATCCCAGGACGTCGGGATCATGACCTGAGCCGAAGGCAGACGCTTAACCGACTGAGCCATCCAGGCACCCCGCATACTTTTTTTTTTTTTTAAACCTCTATGGAGGTCTCCACCTACTGCCCTTCAGAAAGTAGTTACTACTTTTTTCTGAATTGACTTGATGAGCCAGGTATGATGGCGCCTTGTGCTAAAATGGTTAGTGCATAGCTTTTCTTCTTTAAGGAAATGTGGAGATTTAAGGTCAGTTTTCATGCAGAAGTATGAGTGGTGGGTTGCGCGCCCTTTGGCTTAGCCCCTCTCCTGCTATTGAAATCTTAAATGGTGATAAACAAGGCAGTAGAATGTTAAGTGTCCCTGCCCCTTCCTTTCACTCTAGTCTTGGCAGTGTGATTACTGTGAGGGTAATGTGTACTGGTTTCCAAAGGATCAGCACTGAAACGTTTTTTTTCCCCCAAGAAGCCTGACAGAAAGATAAAGCCTTATCTGCCCCACGATAACAGTGGTATGTGGCAGTCTAATCTCCTCTAAGGCCTTGAGTCCTTCTGACCCCATAGTGTCTCCTGTCCCTTGTTCCCTGGCATGGAGTCTCTCTTGGCATAGGCGGGTGATGGTGTTCAGCACTGCCTCTTTCCCATCATTCCCTGATGCTGGCTTATGTTCAGGGCATTCTGCAGCTAACTGTTTTTAAGTGTGGATTTTGTCAACTCCCAGCCCTATGATGCTGACTTCTTTGAGTCTGAGTTACAGACTCTACATGGAAAGCCATTGCTCTTTAATGACCCAGGTAAGTAAGCTGTGGATTTGTGGGAAGATAAATATAGAGGAACTAAAAACTATTTCCTCAGGTTTCTCTTCAGCTTGAAGCCAAATGAAAAATGAATGTTAGTAACTAAAGCTCTAATTTCTTGTAATTTGCCCCCTGCAAAAGCCATTCTAGTCAGAAGAAGAATAAATCCCTAGCAACCCTTCTCAGAAAGCTGTGCCTCTTTGTCATTCATATCCTGAGACCCAAGCCTGGTGTAGAAGGATCTCTCCTAGTTCCTTTCTCTCCCAAAAGGTTCTCAATCAAACAGAGGATCACCGCCAGAGGGTCCTGCAGGCAGCCGCTAAGAACATCCGTGTCTGGTTCATCAAGGTGCGGAAGATGAAGGCCATCTACCACACCCTGAACCTGTGCAACATCGACGTGACCCAGAAATGCCTGATCGCAGAGGTCTGGTGCCCCGTCACCGACCTTGACTCCATCCAGTTTGCGCTCAGGAGGGGCACGGTGAGTACCCCACAGCTGGCAGTGCAGTGGGAAAGAGTGCGTCCCACCCACTGTAACATTAATTGATCACATTTTTATGGCATTTTTACTTTCAGAGTTCTTGGATATACTCATCTTGTACTCCTCTTGTTTCCTAACAGTACATTTTGTGTATCCTTGTTTTCCAAATGTGGAAACTGCAGTTCAAAAAAGATGAAATGACTGGGTGCCTACGTGGCTCAGTCTTCAGTCGGTTGAGTGTCTGACTCTTGATTTCGGCTCAAGTTATGATCTCAGGGTTGTGAGATCCAGCCCCACATCAGGCTCCACACTCAGTATGGAGTTTTCTTGAGGTTCTCTCTTTCCCTGTCCCTGTGCCCCTCCCCCCATTCATGTGTGCATGCTTGTGCACACTCTCTCTCTCTCTCTTTCTCGCTCGCTCGCTCTAGCTCTCAAAATAAATAAATAAATAAATCTTAAAAAAAAAAAGACAAAATGACATGGGTCATATACCCATGATTCTTCAGAATAGCTCCTGACCAGAACATCAGTTTCCTTATCCATTCTCTCTGCTCCTCAGACTGATTCTTTTTTTTTTTTTAAGATTTTATTTATTTATTTGAGAGAGAGGGTGGGAGGGAGAGCACAAGCAGGCGGGGGGCGGGGCGGGGAAGGAGCAGAGGGAGAGGGAGAAGCAGACCCCACTGAGTAACTAAAGCTTAGTTAGTTACTACTTTGGTAGGGAGTAGGGAGCTGAGCCTGAGCAGGGAGCCTGACGCAGGGCTCAATCCCAGGACCCAGAGATCATGACCTGAGCCAAAGACAGACGCTTAACTGACTGAGCCACCCAGGCACCCCCATCAGACTGCTTCTGAGGGATAACCCTGGCAGTCCTGTCTAGCAGTTAAAGTTTGAGAAGATAACGCTGCTGTCTCCATAAAAGGAAAGAAAAACGATATTCTTGATAGAAAGGCAGATGAGGATGTCTCCAGACAAGGAAGTTCCATGTTTTCTTTGGTTGCACATTTTAGAATTGAATTTTCTAACATGAGGATATTCTTTCACACTTACTTTAAATCTTTCATTGTAGATTTTATACCTAGCTCCAGTTTCTCCAAAGACTGGGCAAGATTGAGATGCAATTCACATAAAATAAAATGCACCTATTTTATATGTATAGTTTGATGAATTTTGATAAATATATACATCTGTGTAACCACCACAATTAGGATGATTTAATTTTGATATATGTGTTTAATGTTTCCCAGGAACACAGTGGTTCCACTGTGCCCTCTATTCTGAACAGGATGCAAACAAATCAGACGCCCCCAACCTATAACAAAACGAACAAGTTCACATATGGCTTTCAGAACATAGTAGATGCTTACGGAATTGGAACTTACCGAGAGATAAATCCAGGTAAAAAAACTTGAATCTTCTCCCTCTAGAAGTTTTATTTTTTGTTTATTTGTTTCTTCTAATGCCTCCCTTCAGATGTTCTTGGGTAGCTGGCATAAAACTAACGATGTTGTCAAGACCTCAGCTCTAGTGTAATTCCTATAAGGAGGTGCCCATTTTGACACACGGAGGGAGGTTTATAGCTAGGTGGCACTCCTTTGAGAGGTGGTTTTATAGGAGTGAGCTCAGTGGATTGGATTCTTTTGTGTATCCTCACAACTATGAAACGCCTGGCTTTCTCTAGCACATTTGCAGAATACTTCAAGCAAAAAGTTTTTTTCCAAGATTGCTGATATTTTTAAATGGCTTCCCTATTCCAGGTTAGACAGAGAAAATATAGCAATTATTGACCATTTTAGACACAAAGCAGGTTTCACAAAGCAAAAACAGGAGAGTTAATTATTAAATCAAGAGTCTGAGAATTTGTTTTTAGCTAGAGTCTTCTGGTCTTCTGCAGGACTGACTTTGCTCTGAGTCTGGGCTTTCTCCCACTTACCTGGGAGCTTTTTTCAGCTGAGAAATGGTTGCTGCACAAGAGAAGAAAGCTAGCCTGTCAAAGGAGCAGTGTTCCAGGGCTTAGAGAAAAGGAATCAAAGAACAAAGGAAGTGCCCAGCCAGGGCTAGGGACAAAACTTTCACTCTCTGTGTTCTTTGCTTAAAATGCTAGCAGTAGCCCAGATCCCATCAGAGCTGCTTTGTGAGGACGTGCAGATCCTGCCATGGAAGGTTTTCTCTGGGAGTCCATTTGACCAACAGCTAGGGAATAAGTCCCCTCGTACTGATCTTAGAGTATGAGGAGGAATGTGATCTGCTGCGTGGTTGCGGTTTTCTGTACTTTGTTTTTTTCCTCTGGTTTCTTTATAGCTCCCTATACCATCATCACTTTCCCTTTCCTGTTTGCTGTGATGTTTGGGGACTTCGGCCATGGTATTTTGATGACCCTTTTTGCTGTATGGATGGTATTGAGGGAGAGCCGGATCCTCTCTCAGAAGAATGAGAATGAGGTAATGTTTGCTCCATGTGTGTTGGACTGAAACTTTGTAATTTCTCAAGCATTCATTATAAAATTAGGATCTGGAAGTCTTCTATCCATGAATTTATAGAGAAGTTACAGAGGCTGTTTCAAGAGTAGAGAAGTTACATTCATTTTAACTCTAAAGCGGTCATGTGCTGTGAAAGTCATTTCCTGTTAGCATTGTATTTTGGCCTTTAAGTTCTCTGACCTGGGCTGTGGGGTAAATTAGTGTGAGAAGAATGGTCATATATTCTCAATAATGTTGTCACAACAATAGTGTTGAGCCACAGGGAGTACGTTTCATTGACTTCTTTCTTCTGGTTCCCAGATGTTTAGCACCGTGTTCAGCGGCCGGTACATTATTCTGTTGATGGGTGTGTTTTCCATCTACACTGGCCTCATCTACAATGATTGCTTTTCCAAGTCTCTTAATATCTTCGGGTCATCCTGGAGCGTACGGCCAATGTTCACTTTATATAATTGGACGTAAGTTGCGAAGAAGCTAAAAGTCAGGTTATTCCTTTCCTGTTCAGCTCTGATTTTCCAGACAAGAGATAAACTTACACTTCTTTAGGAAGTGGCTGACAGCGTCTCTGTTTCAGAAGAATGCAGTGTCCCTTCTTATTTATGCCCCAGCCTGGCAAATGTTTGTGATTCCTTCAGCGCTATCAAGAAACTGAGTGCCTGGGGCGCCTGGGTGGCCAGTCAGTTAAGCATCTGACTATTGATCTCAGCTCAGGTCTTGATCCTTGGGGTCGTGAGTTCAAGCCCTATATTGGGCTCCATGCTGGGTGTGGAGCCTACTTCAGAAAAAAAAGAAAGAAAGAGAGAAAGAAAAAAGGAAGGGAGGAGGAAGGAAACTGAGACTGTAAATTTAGGCACATTGTTTCTTTTTGTAAATTAAAAGCAGATTCCCCAAACTCCCTACTTAGTTGTGTAGGTGTGTTTGTTTTGGTCTTTTGTTATTTCTGATCCCTTTTCATTCTCAGATGCTAGTCCTTCCTCTTTTATTGAAGAGACAAGACAGCTGTAGTAGTTTCTTTTAGGATCAGTTTTGGACCCCAGCAGTTTCCCTCTCTTGATAAAAACAAATGGAACTTTTCTTCTAACATGGTAGGGAGGAGACGCTTCGGGGGAACCCTGTTCTGCAGTTGAACCCGTCTGTCCCTGGAGTTTTTGGTGGACCATACCCTTTTGGCATCGATCCAGTAAGAGCTCTTCTTTCCTATTATGTCTAACACCAGATTTTTTTTTTTTTTTAAGATTTTATTTACTTATTTGAGAGAGTGAGCGAGCCCACGCACACATGGCATGTAGGGGGAAGGGCAGAGGGGCAAGGAGAGGAAGAGGGAAAGAACCCCAAGCAGACTCTGCACTGAGCACAGAGCCCGTTGTAGGGCTTGATCCCAGGACCCCGAGATCATGACCTGAGCCAAAACCAAGGGTCGGACGCCCAACCAGCTGAGCCACCCAGGTGCCCCTAACACCAGATTTTTAAAATGCAACCCTGAGGGCGCCTGGGTGGCTCAGATGGTTAAGCGTCTGCCTTCAGCTTGGGTCATGATCCCGGGGTCCTGGGATCGAGTCCCGCATCGGGCTCCCTGCTCCTTGGGAGCCTGCTTCTCTCTCTGCTTCTCTCTCTCTCTCTCTCTCCCCCCTCTGTCTCTCATGAATAAATAAATAAAATCTTTAAAAAAAATTTTTTTTTAAATAAAATGCAACCCTGAAGTGAGAGAATTAAATTAAAGATAGTTATTTGGTTTTCAGTTGCAGTATTTTTGGAGAGCCCTTGTGTGTCTGTCTAGAGTACTTCCAAAGCATAAGAAACCCAAGTGCCTTAGGTAGCTGAATAATTTTTCCCACACTGCTTATTTCAGAGATGCCTAATAAGTTTGACCCTGGGAAGATTGACTTTTAAGACTCCTTCCCAGTTTATTTCTGTTTAACTTATTTTGGGTTTTGTTTTTAGCAGATATTTTAACAAAGCAGAAGCAGTTCTTTCCTATGGATTTTTAGATTTCCATTTTAATCTTTATATACTTACAGAAACTTTTCCCAGAATTAAAAAAAAAAGTGGGCAAAGTGTGATCAGATCTTTTGTATTGTGTGCTTAAAGGAGGATAGGGGGAGGAATTTAAGAATGAGCATTCGACAGGAAGGAATACAGAATTCCAGAGGAAAAACAGATCATTATGGGCCAGAAAGATCAAGGTTTCTTTAAAAAATGGGCATTAATTTCAGATTGTTAACAGGTGAGAAGTGTGTGCAAAAGCATAGAGGTGGGGAGATGCAAAGTTACTCATTTTGATTATTATAAAAGCAAATGTTAGTGAAATGGTCACTGTGGGCCAAGCACTGTGCTCTGTACTCTGCCCTCAGCACATCTGATTTCCCCTGAAACAGTTTTTTTTTTTAGATTTTATTTATTTATTTGAAAGAGAGAGAATGAAAGAGAGAGAATGAGAGAGAGAGAGCACATGAGAAGGGGGAGGGTCAGAGGGAGAAGCAGACTCCCTGCTGAGCAAGGAGCCCGATGTGGGACTCGATCCCAGGACTCCAGGATCATGAACCTGAGCGAAGGCAGTCGCTTAACCAACTGAGCCACCCACGCGCCCCGTCCCTGAAACAGTTTTGATTTCCCCTGAAACCACTATCCATGTCATACAGATAAGGAGACCAAGGCTTGGAGAGGTTGAATAACATTTCACATAAGCATTTAACAAATGTTTACTGAATCTCTGTTGTGTGCAGGCATAGTGCTCGCTGGGGGAAACCTGTAATTTAAATTGTAGCTCCTGCCGTCAAGTAGCTTAGAGTCTAATAATGTTAGGTAACTTTATATGGTGTTCTCCAGTTAACAGTTTTCTGGTTTTGTTTTGTTGTTTTGTGTACATCTCATTTGATGCTTAAGGGTAGGTGTTGAGTTTGAAGTGCCTGTTGGAGGCACAGGTATAAATGTCCATCAGGCAGTTGGACCTGTAGAACTGAATATCAGGGGAGACTGGGGCTGAGAGAGAAACAGTCACAAGTTGTCAGGTTAGAAGTCACAAAGGATGAGCTCCTCAGAAGGATGTTGTTTCAGAAAAAATGATGCCAGGCTAGCCGGTGGAAGACCTGGCTTATCATGCTCCTGAGTTTAAACTTTATCCTAAAGAAGACGGGGGGGGGGGGAGGCGGTGCAGGGTAGGTTTGGGCACAGGGAAGTGACCACATCAGAGGCATTGATTTAGGAAACATAATGTGATGGTCAAGTAGAGGCAGAAGAACCATGGAAAATATTACAGATGTCCAGGCCCAGGTGACAAAGCTTAAGGCAACTAATATTTAAAAATAGATGGAGGGGCGCCTGGGTGGCTCAGTCGTTAAGCGTCTGCCTTCGGCTCAGGTCATGGTCCCAGGGTCCTGGGATCGAGCCCCGCATCGGGCTCCCTGCTCAGCAGGAGTCTGCTTCTCCCTCTCCCGCTCCCCCTGCTTGTGTTCCCTCTCTCGCTGTGTCTCTCTCTGTCAAATAAATAAGAAATCTTTAAAAAAATAAAATAAAATAAAAATAGATGGAACTCCCACAAGAAGACAAACTAGAAGAACAGGTGGATGACAAGCTTATGGATCCCACAGGACTGTAAAACTCCAGCACCAGGGGAGAGTAATATATTGAGCTCCAGGTGTTTCCTCACAACTCGTTTATCCTTCAGGCTAAAATTTTACATTTCTTCTTTTTCTTACCTTTTTCCTGTTTCAGATAGATTATTGTTTTCCAAATAAATAAGTAAAATTTAAAAAAATAAAAATAGATGGAATGACAGCACCATGGGGATATGATCAGTAAAACAATGACTGTGGGAACATCTACAAAATAAATGTCCAAGCTTCTTCAAATATTTTGTAAGGAATAAAAAAGGGGAGAGTAGGGGGAGAATTTATAGATTAGATATTTAAGAGCTGTGTCAATGTAGAGACCTGATCTGGACTCTACTTTGAATAAATTAATTATGTTTTTAAAAAATTGGGGCACAGGGTGCCTGGGTGGCTCAGTCGGTTAAGCATCTGCCTTCAGCTCAGGTCATGATCCCAGGGTCCTGGGATTGAGCCCCACATTGGGCTTCCTGATCAGCGGGGAGTCTGCTTCTCCCTCTCCCTCTGCCTCTCTCCCTGGCTTGTGCTCTCTCTCTCTCAAATAAATAAATAAAATCTTTAAAAATAAATAAATAATAAAAAATTGGGGCACAATCAGGGAAGTTTAAGTACTGACTATATGTTTCATGATATTAAAGAATCGTCATTAATGCGTTGTGGAGTGATAACAGTATTGTAGTCATGATTTAAAAAAAATTAGTCCTTACCCAAAAGGGGGGGGGCTGTGGCACCTGGGTGGCTCAGGCAGTTAAGTGTCCTGCTCTTGATTTCAGCTTAGGTCATCACCTCAGGGTCATGAGATCGAGCCCCATGTCCATGCTGGGCGTGGAGCCTGCTTAAGATTCTCTCTCAGGTGCCTGGGTGGCTCAGTCGGTTAAGCATCTGCCTTCAGCTCAGGTCGTGATCCCTGGGTCCTGGAATTGAGTCCTGCATCGGGCTCCCTGCTCAGCGGAGAGTCTGCTTCTCCCCCTGCCTCTGCCCTTCCCCCTGCTCGTGCTCTCTCTCATGCTCTCTCTCTCAAATAAATAAATAAAATCTTTAAAAAAAAAAAGATTCTGTCTCTCCCTCTGCCCTTCTCCCTACCCTCTCCTCCTCCTCCCCAGCATGCGGGCTTGCTCTCTCAAAAAAAAAAGAGTCAGATTTTTACAGCTAAAATGATATGGTATCTGGACTTTGCTTCCAAATAATATGGAGGTGGGGAGTAGGTTGTCTGTATGATAAAATAAGATTGACCTTGAGTCAATAGGTAATTGTTCACCTGGGTCATAGGTAAATGTGAGTTTGTTATACTGTCCTTTCTACTTAAATCTGTGTTTAGAACTTTCCATAGTTAAAAAAAAAGCTTTAAAAAATAGGTGAACAGGAGCGCCTGGCTCACTCAGCTGGTGGAGCATGCAACTCTTGATCTCAGGGTCGTGATTTTAGCCCCATGTTGGACGTAGAGCTTGCTTTAAAAAAAAAAACAGGTGAATAATAATATCCTATTCACGAACTCTGTAATGCCTTTTTGTTTCCTTGGGTTGTGACAGATCTGGAACATTGCTACCAATAAACTGACCTTTCTCAACTCCTTTAAAATGAAGACATCTGTTATCCTAGGCATCATCCACATGATGTTTGGAGTCACTTTGAGCCTCTTCAACCATACGTGAGTTGCTCTGTTTATGTCACAAGCACGTGCGTAGCTTAGGTAATGCTTTTGCCTAAAGAAATCATGACATCTTTGGGGAGGGATAAGTAACTCAGAACCCTATTCTGTGTTAAAGAAGTGCTTTTATAAAAATCTCATATTTTTAAATGAGGCTTAATTAATATTAGTCCCTTAACAATTCACAACTGCAGTAAAGATCTTTGAAAAACCTTGTCATTTTCATCAAAATTAGTGAATTACTTTTTTCTTTTATTTGTAACTCATATAAAATTATGAACTGTGGTTCCAGAATGTACTATGTTTTCCAGTCTCTTTCTCATGGGAAAAGATTGGTGGGGGTGGTACCAAGATGTTCAAGGTCCAAAAGTTTGAAAGTCATGGTTAATCCTGCTTGTCTCTTTTGGCCTCCAGTGCTTCTGGCTGTTACTTCTTAAAGTGATAAAGACAGAATTGAGGGAGCTGTAGGTAGGAAATCTAGTAAGTACTCCATTCAATGTAAGGGTGTCCCTGGGTCTGCTCACCATTTTTTTTTTTTTTAAGTAAGCTCTATGCCCATCGTGGGACCTGAATATACAACCCTGAGAGCAAGAGTCCCAGGCTCCACTGACTGAGCCAGCCAGGCGCCCCTGGGTCTATTCACCTTTAACACTTTTTTTTCTCTCTTCCTTTTTAGCTATTTCAAGAAGCCCCTGAATATCTACTTTGGATTTATTCCTGAAATAATCTTCATGACCTCTTTGTTTGGCTACTTGGTTATCCTTATATTTTACAAGTGGACAGCCTATAATGCTAATACATCTGAGAAAGCGCCAAGCCTTCTGATCCATTTCATAAACATGTTTCTTTTTTCCTACGGGGACTCTAGTAATTCGATGCTGTATTCCGGACAGGTGCGTCAACTTGGAGGTGGATTGTCTAGGTGGTTACCCTAGATCAGGAAGCCGGATATTTCTGTGACTCTGGAAGAGCCTTTAAAAATCTCTTTCTGTGGTATTAGTTTTCAGCCCGTACATCAGACCTAAATTCAGCCCATTCTCCTTAGCTTCGGAGAATCTAATTAACTCCTGTGTCCACAAAGGGTAGAATTTATAACTCCCATCCTGTGAGACAATTCCTGGGCTTTGCCACAACATCTTCTAATTATTTTGAGAAGCTAGATAGTGTTATTCCTAGATCAGTAAGAAAGTACTGTGTGGGGGAAATTTGTGCTGGAGTTGGAAACTGCATGTTTGATTAATGTGGTGTGCCTTGTCCTTACTTTGTAGAAAGGAATTCAGTGTTTCCTGGTAGTGGTTGCGCTACTGTGTGTACCTTGGATGCTACTATTTAAACCACTGGTCCTTCGCCATCAATATTTGAGGAGGAAGCATTTGGTGGGTGTACTTTTATTGCTGAAAGTCACTAGATTTTTTTTTTCCTTGAGATCAAGGCAGTTCCTCACCAGATATAATGAATCGTGTATAAGTCTATACGCTCTTAAAGTGCACTTGTGTAATATCCCAGCATGAGCACTGGACCTGCTGAAACTTAAAAAAACAAAAAACAAAAAAACCCATGTACTTGCTGTTCGAACATCTGGATTCAGTTTTGAGTAGCTCAGGTAGAGGAAACAAGTCATAAGTTTTTACCTTTCATGGTCATGCTTTGCTCATGCTGTGCTTAGCACAATCCAGGTCTGGGCCTGCCTAGATGCAGCGTCAGCCAAATCAGGGCTGCAAGAGCTGCAGGTGGATGAACCCACTTGTGTGGTTTGCCTGGGCAACCACAGGGCTGACGCTGAGACATTTTCTTTTAAAATGAGACCATGATACTTTCACCAATCAAGACATCCGGAAAAAAGATTTGGTTTAAAGAACATTGATTTTTTTTTCTTTTGAAAAAGCAGCACATACACTTGTGTTTACTTAATGTATGCGTGCTTATGAATTCCACACACACACACACTTAAGTTGCCAAATTTTCATTTCTGGCTGTGCAATAATGCTTACTTACCACACTCGCTAGTAAAGCCCAAAAGATCTTAGTGCATGACTCTCATACGGCTGTTAGATTATGATTCCTTTTTGAGAGCAGCTGAGTTACAAGACCCTCCTTCTCCCTTTTCTGACCATCTTCATCCTTCCATGTACCCTCCATCCGTCTCTCCCCTCACTCCCTCTTTTGTTTCTTTCTCCCTTCCTCTTCTCTTCCATTCACTATCAGGAAGGGCAGCCTGTGGAGGCCCCAGTCAGCTCAACCCCGAGCCAGCAGGGACTAGAGGCAGCAGCGGCTGCAACAGTGAGTGAACTAAAACTGACAAACCATCACATTTTGTGTAAAGAGGTGGCAAACAGTGCAGCAGAACTCTTTTCAGTTATATCGAGAGCATGGGACATGTGAGCTCTTGGGAAGTACATCCTTGTTACTCATTAAGACGATGACAAAAGATTTCCACCTCTTATGAATAGATTCTAATGTCATCTTTACCATTGGTCTACTAAGTTTCTATTAAAAACTGTAAGTACAGTCATGTCTATGGAAGCAGAGTGACTGTTGTACCCTCTCAGAATCCCATCATCTTAATCCAAGATGGCAGCTCTTGGATTCATCCACTTTCATGTCTGTCTTTTGTAACCATATATTAGATGATTTTTCAGCATGGAATGAGAACATTCCTGTGATTTTTGAATTAATTTCCCTGCTCTTTAAACTTCTGCTTTGGAGGGATGCATGGACATTTGGTCCATTTTCGCTATGACTTTCTCTCCTGCCAGTGGGGCCTTATACATGTCTACTCTGTTGTGAGAGACTCAGAAGCCCTCCTGTCCTCAGCTGCTCCACTGAGACCTCCAGTCTGCGTGGGTCCCATGTGCCGTCTGCATCTGATGCAGTAAGCAAAGTCATCTGTTTGGATCTTTCCTTCTTTAAATACCAACTCATAATTCAGCAACAGCACTTTGAATGTTAAGCATTTCAATATTTGCCCTTAGAAACATCTTTTAACCAAACTCTTTTAATGCACTATTACCGACTTAGCCCAGTCTATTCTAGGTAATCAATAAGATTTTTAAAATCTCACCAGCAGTGATCACACATGTTACTAGTGTGATCTAGTGCCATCATACTCCTTTAAAAGAAAATGAAATATTTAGATGGATGACCATTTCCTTCATTAGGTGTTTCTGATCATTTTAAACTTAGAAACCTGCCGTAATCATCCTTCTAGAACGAGTCTAAAAGGGCTGACATTTTGGATCAGAAGATAATTTGATGTTGCTGCTTTTAATTATGTTCAAATAGGGACTTACTCTCTCCTTTCCTATGAGAAATTAGAAAAAAAAAAAGCCCACAAAGCACATACTATCCCATTATCGACATCCTTTCCCAGTGCTCTTCTTTTTCCTAGTCTCGGCATATTTATGCTTCTGATGCATCAGTCTTGATGCTTTTAACTCTGGTATCCTCTTCTGTGACACTACCCAAATTAAATGTCCCCAGTCTGGAAAGCTGCACATTCATGGGATCTTCTTCGCCCCACTGGTTCTTTAGCGAAATATCTGGTTCTAGAGAGCAGCCTGAAGGCATCAGAATGGTCATTTTACAACAAGGGTCCTGGATTCTTGACCCTAAGGGCTGAGGATACGATCATTGATCTGTGTTTGTTCTGTTCTGTGTCCTCTTGGTTGTCTATAAGTGGTGTATCACAGTTTACTTTTTTCTTTTCTTTTCTCTGCTGATGTATGTCTCTTCCCCCCTACCTATAACTCTCATGTCCTGTGTCCTGAAGGGACAACTTGTTAGTGTCTGCCTGGGGAGGTGATTTACCTGTCTGCCCCTCTGCTGGTTGGGGAAAGCTTCAGAAATGACCTTCTGTTTTGGGAGCCTTAAAGCCTGAAGGCTACTTGGACCCTGTAACCCATGTCAGGGTACTCTGGGGTCCTCTCCTGTCAACAGTGACCTTTGTTGTACTTGCAGTCCACCTTCTGAGGGTTGTCAGGTGTAAGGTTCACATGACCTGGAGGTGTCCAGGGTCTCAGGGCTTCCCGAATCTGACTACACATCAAAATCACCTGGTAAACTTTAAATTTGTTTGTTTCTTAGGGTATTAAAACAAAAGAAGAAATGATAGAGATGGTCCCTAATTCCATGACCTAGGCAATCCCCTACTGACATTAAAAAGTAAAATTAGGGGACACCTGGGTGGCTCAGTCGGTTAAGCGTCTGGCTCTTGATCTCAGCTCATGTCTTGATCTCAGGGTTGTGAGTTCAAACCCCACGTTGGGGCTACTAAAACCGTACTAAAACAAAAACACAAGAAGGTAAAATTAAAGCAATAGGTTAGAGAATGCAAGTAATACAGAAAGAGAAAGCCCCCCTTCCCCCAGGCCCCTTCTCCTGCTCAAAGGCAAGGGAATTTTGCTTCCAAATTTTTTCTGCATAGATCTATTATCCATTAATATACATATGTATATATGTTTGTACATGTATATGTATATGTGTTTAAAACACACTAGGAATTGTGTTTTAAACTGAGTCTTCTGCCCCTTGATTTATTAGGTTTTAAAATTTTTAGTGTATCCTGGGAGATTGTTTCACTCTTTTATAGTTGTCTAGTATTCCATAGAACATTCTGTTGGATATGCTAAAATTGTGTAATCACTCTCTTGTTGATGGATGTGTTGGTTGTTCCCAGTTCTTTGCTATTACAGATACGAATGCAGGGAATATCGTAGTCCGTGTACCTTGATAAAATTTCATAAACATAGATGTTCCCAGCAGTGGGACTGCTGAGTCTCAAAGGGTACTTGCGTTTTTTGTGTGTGCTTACATTTTCAATTTTGATAGTAAAAATGATTATATAGTTTGTACTTGGGGAAATATTTTTTTAAACATAGATTTCCCAGGCCCCACTCCAGACCTACTAAATGTATAATTTCTGGAGGTAGCATTTGAGAATCTCTATTTAATTTCAAGGTGATTCTGATGCAGCTGGTTCTCTGACCAGCACGGGAGAACCCCGGCTACAAGGAGAGAGAGACTTTGCCCAGACACTGAGTTCTGGTAGTCCATAAGCTGTGGTAAAAGGTGCACACCAAAAGGTGAAGCTGTGAGTGGGGACCCCAGGGCACTTGACCAAACCTGTTGGCACATCGTGTACTGCTGCCCAGAAGGCTGTTTTGCAGGAGAGCAGTTTTTAAACTCTTGCCTCCTTTGGGCTTCCTGATCAGAAACCACAAGAAGTGGGCCTAGGGGCTGTTTCTTTAGCTCCTTTTCCCTCTGGCAGATTAGCACTCATTGCTATTTGTCTGACTTCACCCCAGTTCTGCCTGGTTTTTGCACTCAAAGAGTCCTTTTGCCTCAATTAAGCCAAGCTTTTCCAAGTCAGATTGACTTAGAAATTCTGGTTCTGGGGGACCCATTGAACACAATGCCTGGGAAACGGGAAGAAGCAAGCACCTAATCACCATCTGCCCACAGGCCTGTAAAAAAGTTGTTTTAACACTCCAGAGTCCTCCACTGAAGGAAAGGAGCCTTTTTCTTTTTCTTTCTTTCTTTCTTTTTTTTTTTTTTAACTCCATATTCTCTAGCCACAGGCTGATGCACATTAAGCTTTTTTTCCCTTCCCTGATCTAGGAAGTCCTTTGTTCCTGGGCAGAGACCCGGTCCACTTCTGGGAGAGGTTGCTGGAACTCTTGGGTTCCAGTTGAAAGTATATCTGACCGGGTTATAGTCACCATTGTCATTTGGCTTCCCTCCCTCTTAGAAAGTCTGATCCTGAGTTCTAGAAAAACTTAGAGCACTGACAGCTTTACAGATAGAGTTACAGTCATTGTAAGAGGCTGTTCATATGAAGCTTTTTGTTCAAGCAGGCATCTCAGTTAGCCTTGACTGAGGCCAGGTCGGTGCGTCCTGGTGTGGCAGGCAGAACTGATCAGAATGAGGTAGTAAATGCAGGGGCTGGGGCTGGGCTGGTGGTGGTTGGGGCGGGGACAGTAGTTTGTGTTTATTTAGCTGTTGGATCGGCGGGTTTTGATTTTGTTGTTAGAATATATGCTTTTCTGAGGTTTGTATGCACTAACCATCGCCCTTCCCCACCTCACAGAATGTCACATTAAAGCCCAGGCAAATTCTACTCTTTCTGTTCATCTGTGTAGGGAACTCTCAACTTTGGTGGGATCAGGGTGGGCAACGGACCGACAGAGGAGGATGCTGAGATTATTCAGCATGACCAGCTCTCCACCCATTCAGAGGACACGGAAGAGGTAAGATCCAGTGGCGTGGGCTTCCTCTCCTTCTCCTGTGGGTCAGCCCTCGTCTTGTGTGCGGAAATGGCCTCCCTCCAGTCTTCTTGAAAAATGAAAATGCTAATACTAGTGATCAGCCTACCTTCTGGGCCTCTTTGGGCAGCACAGCTTTTTCCAGCGGGCCTGCTGTGAACTCCAGGTGCCCCCTGTGGTTCCCACGGCACTTGTGTTCCCTTGTCCCAACTCGTTGAATTCTGAGTTGCCCGCAGTACTCTGCATGCCAGTCTCAGTGACTGACTATGCTCCTGGGGACCAAGGGCAGAGTGGGCCCAGGCTTCCCCGCTCTTGTTACCAGAAACACAGCCCCCTCAGGGCAGCTTCTTCATCCCTTGCCCCTTCCAGGAATGGTTCCAGTTGGAACTGTAACCGTGGGTGCTTTTTAAAGTCTTGTCCCACTAATGTGCTCCTGTTGCAGATACATTATTTGAGCTTTTTAAAAATGTTATTTGCCTAGTTTTTACAGGGAGAGTGAAAAGTAGTAAGGTCAAATTAGACTTTTCCTTAAACCACCACCTCCAAGCTGATTTTTAAAAATCCAGTCTCCTTGCCTGACCACTCACACCACAAAGCCTCTGAACTGAACTTTTGAATGTCATCTATTCATTTTATTCTTTTTTGTTGTTGTTATATTCTTTTTGAAGCAAATAGAATAGGAGTTGGGGACCCAGGTGACTGAACTTTTCAGTCTGACTGACCATGTCCCCTATGTGTATGACATTTTAAAAAAGAAATTATAAGGGTTGGGGTGCCTTTAAAAAAATATGTATCTTAATGCTCTAAATCCCACTGGGTTTGCTTTCTGTGTATGCTGAGGAGGCCTGCCTCCAACACATGAGGCCCATTTAACATTAACAGTTTTCCCGAGAAACAGTCAATAACCTTGTGCTCGTGACTTGTGACTGTGTGGCATGGCTTCCCACTAAGTGTAAATTTGTGTTTACAAGCCTACCGAGGATGAAGTGGTAAGAAACAAGCTGGCTTTGCCTTCATGTTTATCTGGGGCTTCTCTTTGCCATCCTTGTGATCAGTCTGCTGACCCTGCTGCAACCGGGGGCCCACACATGACACCCGTGCATCCCGCATCTCACTGGCCATTTCTAACCAGTTTGTGAACCTGTGTTCTGAAAAAGCTCATCTCCATTAACTGCATCTCATGTCGGTCACCTCTGTCTTTGTTTCATTGACTTTGCTGATCTAATACCTCTGAGAATGGTTTGAAAAGAGCTACAAGTAATGTCTGCTTTGGCATTCTTGAAGTGACCCCCTTGGGGGTTAAATCCCAGTGGTCTTTGCTTTCCTCTCCTGTGGTGTTATATCTGGTATGGTAGCTCTGCCGCTGGGAGTAGCTGTTTCCTCCTTGCTCCTCGGAGAGCTTGTGAGTAGAGCTCACCCTTCCTCCCTGTCTGAGATGCAGCTACCCTCTTCCTAGTGTCCTCGTCAGCTTGATGATGCTTGAAAGGAGACTTGCTGGGCCCTCACTTGGGATCACATCTACCTCCCTGTGACCCAGGTGGGAGGGAGACAGCTTTCAAAAAGAAGGCTTTGCCTCTCCAATGTATGCCAGAAAAAATCCCATCTGCATGACAGGAGTTCATGTTATACCAGATAATAGAAACAAAGTTGGCTATTCAGGCCACATTTGGAATAGGAGGCCTTCTAGCTCAGCAGTAATTCATTTAGCAATACACGAATTTTAAATTGGGTTTTTTAAAGGCCTTGCTGCACTGTTTGCATCTTTCCCCAAAACTTTTCTCTAAAATACCTAGACCCATGAGTCCTTCCCTTTCCTGGCTCTCCTGGTCCTCTCTAAAGGGGCAGTGGGATGGGAACGGGAAAACCTATGCTGTTCTGTGTAAAAACAGACCGTGCTCGGTCTTCCTGAAGGCTGGAGAGGCTCTTTTGCTGGCATCCAGGAGCCTCTGTGTTCCTGTGAGCTGCTCATCTGAGCATAGTCACTGGTTGAGCTGCCTGGAAGGGCTGGCTAGGAGTGTGTTCCCTGTTAGTGAGGAGCCCGGCCCTCTCCCAGTAACACAGCCCCCAACATTACACTGTTCTTTCCAAGTGTCTTCCTAGTTGAGCACCCAGTGCCATGGTCATCATCAGAATGGTCCTCATTTGTAAGCCATGTCCCAGGGTCTTTGGACAACAACGCGAGACAGACTGTAATCCAGCCTCCCTAGTCTCTGGCCCCTCAGCTCCCTCAAGGATTCAGCTTCCCGTGGCTTCCTAAATAATAATGACATTTTATCTTTATTAGGCACATGTACAGTCTAGTTCTCCACAGCCAGATTTAGATTAACTGTTAGAATTATTTAAAGATTTCAAACAAAACTTTTTTTTTTAAGTCCAGCCTACTTCTTTGAGAACTTCCCCTTTTTGCTTGGCTGTGCAAACCTCTTTGCCCCATGTAGGCCACTATTCCAGCCTGGTGGAAGCAGTAGTCCTTCTCCCTGGGGAGCGCCAAGTCCAGTTGCAAACTAGAGCCAGGCCAGTTGATCGTCCGGGAAATCTTTAAAGGCTGTAACCATTCAGCAAGGGTCAGTGGCACCTCCCCTTACTGTGTCATCTCACCAGGTTGGTCTTCCCACCCGTCCATCCGTGCACTCGTTCCATCCATCCGTGTTTTCATTCATCCCACTCACCCATCCTCCATTCAGTCATCCCGCTCACCCATCTGTCCATCTGTCCATCCTACCCACCCATCCATCTGTTCATTCATCCCACCCACCCATCCATAATTCTTTTATCCCGCCCATTCATTCATTCACCCTCTATGTGCCAAGCACTCTGGTGCTACAAAAACTGCAGGAAGAGAAACATAGCCCTTGCCTTCAAGGAACTCCCAGCCAAATTGAGGAAACAGTCTGGGTGACAGATGGTGTGATTAAGGTGTGCCCAGGATGCTGTGGGAACACAGAAAGAGGGCACCTGATGAGCACTGGGGTGGGGTGGAGAAGAAGAGACCAGGAAGTGATTCCCTGAGGAGATTGTTGCTAACTTAGTCCAGTCAAGCAGGAGTCTCTGGGGACTGGGTGGGAATGCAGACCCATCAGTGTGTATAGTTATCGGAAAGACAGGCGTGTGGGCCCATCATGTGTTGGGCATAAACAAGTACACAGCGGTAGAGTGTTTGGATAGCAAGGAGCCACTCAGGGGGCATTGCTGAAATGCTCTAGTGGGGGTGTTCTAGGGGATATTGGATTGGGGAGGGGTCACAGTCTGGAGGCATGGAGACCAGCTAGTCTGATACGAGTCATGAAAGAATTGGGAGGCCTGAAGTGAAGTGAGGCATTTGCAGGGGAGTTGGAAAGGAAGGGACGGATAATGAGATCAAGGAAGTTAGAGCTACAGGTCCCAGGGCTTTAACGAATGTAGGCAGTGAGAGTGAGGATTCAAGATTGACTGCCAGGCTTGGGTGCCTGGGGCCCTACTCCATGGGACATGGAGTAGAAGTAGGTCCCGGTGGGGTCAGAGGAGAATGATTAATGAGTTTGGGCGGCACTGAGTTTGAAGTGCCTGTGGTGCAATAGGAGGAGATGTAGCACGGCAGTTGGAAACAGTCAACACGGAAATGAAGGTGTCCATCTGGGAGTCACTCCTCCGGGTGGCCGTCCAAGCCTTGAGCGGCTGCGCTGCAGGAGAGGTGTAAGAGCTGAGGCTGGACCTCCAGCATTTAAGGAAAAACCAAGATGGAGACTGGGAAGGAGCATCCAGGGAGGTAGGAGGAAAACCGAGGGCAGGCGAATATCTCCAGAGGGAGGAGGAAAAGGCGACAGTGGGAGACACTGCAGGGGCTGAGTCAGGACACAGAATGTGTTAGACCTCACACCCGGGAGGCAAGGGAGCGGGTGCAGGGAAGGTCAGGTTTGTGGGGCAGAGAGGGTGGAGGGCAGGGCCCAGGAGGTGAGGAGGGGATGGGCCGTGCACCTGGAGGAGAGTGTAGACTGGGAGTCTGCAGCTGTCCTCAGTCACAGCTGACTCCTGAGGCAGTGATAGGCTCCTAAGTGCTTGACTGCATTTCACCCTAAATCCTCACCCACTATAGTCTTCCCCCATTATATAGAGATGAAAACTTGTCCAAGGTTACAAAGCAGGAAGTTGAGAAGAAGACAAAGTACAGAGAGTGTGGGTAATACCCAGAAGGGAGGCTTCCTCTGTGTGTGTTCTCCATTCTTCTGGGAAGAACTCTGGGTAGAATAAAACTGCTGAAAGGGGGCTGGTTCTACAGGAAACCCAGCAGTCCCTGCTTTCGTGGAGCTCTTAGGAGCAGAGACCAGTGCTCCTGGGAGCAGGGACCTTTCTTTCCTCTGAGCATGGGCCCTGGGGTAACAGCCAGCACTGGTGGGAAAGAGCTCTTAGCAGCGTTGTTGGGATTGAGGTAATGAGGATTACCCTAGTTTTTAGGGTAACTAGGAGGCTTGAAGAGCCTGTTGCAGAAGAAAAGCCCAGAAATACTCAGAGTGTAGATGGTCAGGTAAGGGAAACTGAGGCAGTCGCCCAAAGATGGCGTGTTGGAGCTGGCCCCTCTCCCTCCTGGCCGCACCCCTGAGGCCTGGGCTGTTAGCGCTTTACTAGCTAGGTCCTTCTCTCGTCCTGCCCTCATGCAATTTCCAGAGACATTTCTCGTGTCCTTTGGGAGTGGTCATGTGAGTCTTGAAAGAAACTGGTGAAAAACAGACTCTGAGCTGAAGGCAGGGCAGGCGGGGAGGCCCTGTGCTCTGGGGTTCTGGGTGGGCTGTGTGGGAGGAGCCCAGGAAGGGCCCGCCTCCTGCTCTTTGGCGGCTGATTGCTCCACCTGGCAGGGTGGGGGAAGGCCTGGAAGTGTGCCTGGCGTGCCTCTAGAGCATGCCAGTAATTCTTCCCGGCCAGGCTTGGAGCGGGCTGCATGTGAACTCGTGCAAGCTTGTTCTAGCTCTACCCCCTTATTCTGGGAACAGTTTTTGATGTGGGAAGGAAAGCTGGGAGAAAGGGAGCGTAAGAAAAACAGAAACAAAAAAACAATAGATGTTCTGTGTGGTCTCAGTCAACTGGAGGATTTTGGAAAACTTTTGTCAGAATTTCCCTGTGTCATCTTCTCAAGCCACACACACACACAAAGGTTATCTTGCTCGCAGCAGGTTCTAAGAATAATAAGTGGAGTCACTGTAGAGGCTTAGTGTTGCCTCAGCAGCTTCTGGCCTGATAGCTTGTCACCTGAAGCATGGCCGGGGAAAGCCCTTCTGCTCTCATGACTCAGAGCAGGGTGCTTCCCTCGAGCACTGTAAGGAGGAAGTCAGCTGGAGGAGGCCCAGCAGCAGGGCCCTAAGAGTCCCGAGTCCAGACAGTCCATTTCTCTGAGTGCTCTTAACTCGGCATACATTCCACTCTTGAGCTTACAGCCTAGTGGGAAGAAAAAAACAAATGTGTTGAGAATCATCTCATTAAGATGGAGGTCATCAAAATGTAGAGAATTAAGGGAAATGGGGTGTCCCAGTTGGGGGCTAAGCCAGGCAGGAATTCTGGGGATAGCATAGCTGAAACCACCACCTGAGTTCAACGTTGGGGGTTCCTGGCCCGTGTAGCTGTTAGTGCTGGCGCTCAGACCCAGGCCCAAAGCACCAAGTGGCCGCAGCACCATCTACACATCCCCTCCCAGCCTTATATCTTCTCTCTGGTTTCCTCCCATGACAGTTTGACTTTGGGGACACCATGGTCCACCAGGCCATCCACACCATCGAGTACTGCCTGGGCTGCATCTCTAACACTGCCTCCTACTTGCGGCTCTGGGCCCTCAGCCTCGCTCATGCACGTGAGTCTATTTCTCTCAGGTTGAAAATTATGGTTTTCCCCTTCTCTGGGCACTCTTTCAAATGTAGGGCTTAAGTAGAGTAGAAATAACATATAAGGGTTCTGGAATTATTCAGACTCCTGAATCCCGGGAGAAAGACATCCAAATGGGAGGACCAGTGCCTTTGCCAGGTTAGCTATGCACGGCAGTCCCACTAAGGCTGCAGGAAGCCAGGGCGCAGCAAACGCTTCAGGTGAGGGACAGCAGAGCAAAATGGAAGGCCCACAGCACCTCTTGCCAGACTGAACCGGATGTCCTGTCTCTCTGCATTCCCTAGAGCTGTCTGAGGTGCTTTGGACCATGGTGATCCACATCGGCCTTAGCGTGAAGAGCTTGGCAGGAGGTTTGGCACTGTTCTTCATTTTCGCCGCCTTTGCCACCCTGACTGTGGCCATCCTCCTGATCATGGAGGGCCTCTCGGCCTTCCTCCACGCGCTGCGGTTACACTGGTGAGCGGCAGCAAGTTCGGGGGGCTGGGGATGTATCCTTAGCTGCACGGAGGGCAGCTTTGCTCTTGTACAGAATCCAGAGACACTAGGAAGTGTCTGCTTTCATTCACATCATTATGCCCAAGGACCTACATTAGGGGTGAGCATCAGGAAACCTCCACAGAAAAGCACAGCTCACTCTTCAGAGTCCCCAAGGGAGAATTCTCTGGTGGGTGTTGTCAGATTCCCTCTCCCTGCCTTTTTAGCCATCTTCACTGCTCTTGATTATGGCTTAAAAGACCTGCTGAGGTTGTTGGTGTGTTTGGGGTTTTTTTGCTCTGGCTAAACTTTCTCCTGTCTTCAGAGTGATGGAAGCAACTCTGGAATAGATTCGCAGTCCAGGAAGGTGCTAGAGCACCCTGTACCCCAGTTTTGTCCCCCTTCTGTCATTGTACCGGTGTCTTTGGGTAGGAGCCCTGGCAGCTCCACGTGGGTAGGGGAGGTTCCTGGTTCTATAGTGTGTAGCTCAGTGCCCTGAAGCAGCTTCTTCAGAAGGGCAGGTTTGGATTTGTTTGTTTTCCTTAAAGTAGTTTGTGGCTTTTAATGGCTCTGCCTGGAGAGAGCTAGCTCAGTCCCAGGGGGTGGGAGAGGTGGGGTCTGGTCCAGGCAGTGACCCTATGACCTCAAGGTAGGATTGTCGGATTTAGCAAATAAAATTACAGGACATCCAGTGAAATTTGAATTTCAGATAAACAGTGAATTTTTTTTTTTTTAGTAAAAGTATTTCCCAAATGTACATGGGACATACTAATACTAAAAACTAGGCGTCCTGTACTTTATCTGGCTTCCCTGCCTCAAGCCCTCCCTCTTTTGAGTCTCTACTTCCTCCTTTATGTTGTGATTCTCCCTCTCTTTTTGGGTCTCAAACCCCAGTGTCTCTGGAAGCTCTGGGCCCTCTCCCTAGAGAAACATCCTCCCCAATAGTTTTACCCATTTAGGGGGGTCACAAACTCACTGACCCTACCTTAGGAACTCCTAGACGAGATGGTCTGTGGTGCTAATGATCTCAAGATCAGAGAGTGTGTAGAATGTCTCGTTACATCCGTTTTCTAAACCTGAACCCAAGGATCCTCTGCCCCATTCCCCTTATCTTTGGTTTTCCTTCTGACTTGGTTATGCTGAGCCCCCTCAAAGATTCAGGGGCCTGTAGTTTTCAAGGAATGGGCTTGTCAGACAAACTGTTTGCTATTCTAAATGACAGAGGGGAATGTGAGGCATGGAAGGGCAGGGCGTAACGGGGACTTACTCTTCCCTCAAAAGCTCCTTTAAAATAACCCGTCCTCTGGCTGGCTTCCTCCTCCTTGCCGCCCTCCTCCCTACCCAGCTGTTGTTTATCTACTGTCCAGCCAGGAGGTTAGGAGCGCTGTGTGACTCAGACTGCTGGCATGCCACCCTGTTCTCAGCTTATCGGCATACTCTCTCCCCAGCACACTTCCTCAGCCACTCGGTATGAGGCAATGTCTGTGTGACCAGCCTCTTGTGACTCACTGTTTCTTCCTTCCTTCCCTAGTCATTTCTCTGTCTCCTGAGCCCTGCGCTCGAGAGGCCAGTTGCTACCCCACCTGAATCCCAACCCAAGTGGGGAGCCTGTAGCCTCCTCCCTGCGCGGGCTGGGGAGCAGTCTTGGTGCTGGGTCAGAACTGTCAGAGCAGTGAGCCAGGCTTACCACAGGGTGAGGAAGGTTGCTGGAGCCTGGGCCTCATCTCCACAGTAAGCAGAGGCAGCTTGGGAGGCCATGTTTTGTTGTGGCCAGAAGGATCATGTCTCCCTCAGGCTTACCTGTGGCCTTCAAATGAAGGTGTCTTCCCACGGCCCCATGAATGAGCCCAAGGACCTGATGAGTGACAAGAGAGCAGGCTTCAGAATTAGGCCCACCTGGGTTCAAATTCCGGCTCTGCTGTCCCTGGCTGGGTGACCCTGAGGAGAGCACTTAACCTCACTGAACCTTACTTTCAGGTGAAGAGAGGATGGTATCCACGTAACATGGTTGTGGTGATAAATAGGAAATAATGTGCATGCCAGGTGCCTGCCACAGTGCCCCGGCTCATCATAAACTGTGTTCAAGTGCAGATCGCAGCCGCCCTGCTTGGAAGTGGGCTGCCCTGTGGAGAGGGCATCTTGGCCATGGTCCCTTGTAAAGAAACTGCTTTTAGTGTTTAGAGAGGGGAGACCCCCTAGGGGAGGCACATCTGAATGCCTGTAGTTTTCAAGGAATGGGCTTGTCAGACAAACTTGTGGGTTGGTTTGTTTGGATAGTAGAGGTATCACAAAGAAGAGAAACACGAAACTCCTTTGTCTGGCTTTCAGAATCCGTTGTTGGAGGCACGTTTGGAGCGTTGCCCTTTACTGTAGGGGGTGAATGAAACAGGTGCTCGTGCTCCCCCTCCTGGCCGAATATGGATGTACTGCAGGGAACCCTGGGCCTTCTTGTCCGCCAGGTCTGCAGGAATTCTGAGTTGTGGCCCGCTTGTGAGGCTGGGGACAGCTGGTCCTGCCGAAAACGGCTGTGGGACATTGCTGCTGTTTTTCCTGGGGTCCAGCCTGGGCGTCCTCATACCTGTCACTTTACCCCTGGCTGTCAGCTGGGGTTTCCTGATCCTGATGCAAGGGCTGTCCTATTATAAAAGTTCTGGATGTCTTCAGCGGGGACAAGAACAACGTCTGCTTTGGTAACAAACACAAACCACTAGTCTGAGATTCATGTGCGGTCCTAAAGGAGGTGGGGGGTATATTTGAAAACAAGAGTGAAAGGTTACTGTCCCAACCTGCTGATTTCGTCTCCTTCTAAGTTATGTGTCTATTTTTGCCTACTGTAATTAGCTGTCTTTTCTTCCTCAGGAAAGGCAAAGGCAGGGATAAGATTTGTCAGTTTGTGGACACCAGACTGACTTTTTAGTAGAAAGACTGTTGCCCCCTGGCCCACTTTCAGGAACCAGACCCCTTCTTACTGAGCAGATTCCACAGACGTGTCAATGTGCACACTTGCACACTCACAAACTCCAACTCCTTTGGTTGAAGGCCAAAGGAAGGGGGGACCAAACTCTGATAAGGAATGGAGTGGCGCCACAGCAGGATACCACGGGACGGTTGCGGGAATGGCTGGCCCGGAAGAAAGCACACCTGAAGTGTAGTTCCTGGCTGCCATCATTGCCCTGACATGTGGGCCATCAGACAGACGTGTGTCCCAGGCCCTGGACTGCTCAGAGAGCGGCAGAAAGGGCCAGAGAAGCAGCTCCATCTAGGATCATCTTCCTAAAACTGCCTCTTTTCACTCACACCCCCGCCAGGAAAGGGAGGAGACCCAGGACTCCTTTCCCCTTCCCTCACTCAAGGAAACAAGGTTTCCTATTACGTAGCAGTGGTGAGTGCTCCGGGGACTCCTACTTAGCCTTCGGGGTCACTGGGTGGCCTTTGCCAGTACTGTGGCTGGAAGAGAAGGGGTGTCCGAGAAACCCATCCAATTTCCTGAGGCCCTCCTCACAACTGTGGATTTCTAGAGGTGGCTTGGGGCATGGTGGGGCCCTGGAGGCTCCCTGGGTGGTGTAGCAGGCTCCTAAAATAAGAGGAACTTGCTGGGCGGCGAGCAAGGCCCTGGCGCAAAGAACTTCACGTTTGTACTTTCTCAGGAAGTACACATTTCCCTGGTTGGGAGGGAGGGGTGGGTGGGGAGTCTGATCGGGAGATTGCTTTCCAGCTTTGTTCCGGGAGGTTGGGGTAAGTGAGGCCGAGAAGGGGCGTGAAGTCAGGCTGACCCTGAGATGCGTGAGGTGTCCGTGGTGGTGGCCACCCTAAGTCTAACCACAGGCAGTGGCTGGTGGTAGAGGTGGTGTCAGGCCATGTGTCAGAGGGACCGCCCGTGGGCTCACTTGGCAGAATTTACGCACCTGCATCCCAGACACATGTAGCCCTTCCTTCCCACTGGGCCCCCTAGGTAGTTGAGGCATGCCGAGGAATGCCGAGAGAAGGATGGTGAGCCCATGGGCATCTGAAAACTTGTGAAGCTTCTAGTCCATTCGTCCAGTTTGGAATTCGAATTGTTTGTGTGATTAGCCAGCCCTGGGGCTCAGAGTTCTGGACCCCGAGCAGACCCTAAGATGACTTGCCCACCGTCTCGATAAATGTTGTGGAATGCAAACGGGACGTGTCAGTCTCTTTCCAGTTGTTCAGAAATGCCCTTGCCATATGCAAACAGCCTACTCAACGTGAAGGACCAGACAGCAGTGGGTGAGAGGCAGGAACCTACCCCATCCCCACCTAATTCCCCCAACGGAGGCCTGAATAGCTAAAGCTTCTAGGACTTCTCAGGGGGTTGGGATATGGGGACGAGTCCAGATCCCGGGTTGAAATTGCTTTTGCCAGGAATCCTGTGACTGACTTCAGTTTGAAGCCCCTTCCCCCAGGTCCTATTTTCCCTTGACCCAGGGACCCCTCCAGAGTCTGGGAGGCTTTGGGACCTTGGCCCAGGCCCTGGAATGTGGGGCTGGGAGGAGAAGGCTGCCTGTTCTTTGCCCACAGAGAAAATTCTGTTCACCTCTTCTCCCCAGGGGGTGGAGCCGGCAGCTCTGCAGTGTCCTCAGCCAGCACCCCAGGGTTGACGGGGCCTCTGAGGACCTCTGAGGGCCACCACAGACGCACCCCCGAAGCCGACAGGCCTTCCACCGTGCCCTGCATGAGCACCATTGCCTGCAGCGGGCCCCAGCTCCCAGCCCCGCCCATCCTTCTGCCCTTCTGGCGTCCTCAGGGTCACTCAGCGCTGAGTGGAAACCATTCCTCAGGGCAGCTCTCCTTGGCTTTTTTATCCTCTGAATCATACATTTTTCTGCCCATATTTGGTGGTGGTTTGGTTACTGGGCAGCTAGCCAGGGAGTATGCAGGGGGAAGTATAGCCTGCAGTCCAGCTCTGCTTCCAGGAGTGCTGTCTTCCTGCCCCTCAGAGTTGGAAAGGGCCCCAGGGAGACCGTCAGCGCTGGATGCTGGGCTGCCTGGGAAGGGAGGTGAAGCTCTGCTTTTCCTTTCAGCCCCTGAGAGAAGAATTCGTTCTCAGATGTTCTTGTAGTTGGAGAATATTTTTGCCATTACTTGGAGAAGACTCCCCCCCCACGCCCCTTTCCTGGGAATTTCCTCCCCAAAGCCTCCAGCGTTTACTCGAAACCCTCCCTTCTCCTTCCTCTTGCAAGGAAAAGAAACAAACTAGAAAACAAGGGCACTTGCCAGAGTCCCTGGTGCTGAGCTCGCTGCCGCCCAGGGGCTTCCCTGAGAGTTCGGCCTCAAGCCCCTGAGCCCCAGCCGGGAGTCCAGTGGTTAATCTCTACATTGCCCTTAGAGACTCAAACCAAGGGCACTTCTTTTGCACATGGCTAGACAAAGAGTTTTGCATAAACACACAGTGCTTAGCAGGAAGGAGCAGGAACTGAGGACAAACCAGGGAGGAGCTATGCGGCACTCTTGCCTTCAGAAGCAGGGCTTGTGTGCGCTGTGGGAACTAGGCCAAGCTCTGGGCTGGGTGGGTGGAAGAAGGCCAAGCTGCTTTCCCAAGCTGAGCTAGGAAAGCGGGGCCTTGGGGAGGAGGGTCAGAGCATCTTTCTAGCCAACTGTGAAATCCCAAAAGGATACTGTGGAATGATGACTTTCCTTTTCCCTTTCCCCAGGGTGGAGTTCCAGAATAAATTCTACAGCGGAACCGGTTTCAAGTTCCTACCCTTCTCCTTCGAGCATATTCGGGAAGGGAAGTTTGACGAGTGAGCCCATCGTGGGGCTGTGTGCCGGCAGGCTGCCCTCCTCACTCCCTCCACAGTGGTTACCTGTGCTCCTCTTGCCTGTTGGTTGTGTTCCCTGGGTATCAGGGCGTTTGTGTCATCCCCGCCACCCCTCCCCCAGCCGCCTGTGAGTCATTTAGATAAATCCGTCCCTCCCTGAGTCCCCTGCCACCGCCACCTTCATGTGTAGTGTAGAGAGAAGCCGGGCTCTGGCTGTCACTCATTCCCACTAGGCACCAGCCTTGCCCTCCCAGCCTCCGTCCAGCCAGAGACAGCCCCTTCTGTGTCCCCTGGTGATGAACAAGTTTGTGCATTTTACATTTGAGCCCAAAGCCCATGGAAGGAGCGCTGTCACCATCCACACCCAGACTTTGAGCCCCCTCTCCCTGCCACTCTAGTTACTGGTTAGGGGCAGGGGTGCTCTTTAACACACCCCATTCTTGGGTTAGCAGGGGTAGGTCCAGTAAGATGGCATGTCTATCCTCTGTCCATCCCCTCTGGTCTTCAGAACAGTTGTTAATCGGGAATCCATCTGTGCCGTTGTGCACGGCTTCTCCCTGTCACTCCCAAGGGTCCCAGGGTGCCCAGCACCACCTCCCTAACCACACCCTCTCCTCCTCCCTCCTAGAATCCCCTCCTTCCCCCTGCCCCTGTGTGTACCCAGCATAACAGCACAGCCGGGAGTGACCTGAGCAGAGAGGTCCTGGATGCCTCCTTTGGTTGGAGGCTTCTCAGGCCAAGCTGTGCGCCCCTGGGCAGAGGGTTTGAACCGTGGCTCTTGCCTGGTGCAGACCCCAAGACCTTCCCCTACCCCCAATCATGAGTCTTGAGGGCAGGACCATAGTCATCCAGGGTGGTTCAGCCTGCAGACCTGCCTTCTCTGCCCTCCCGTGCCCCTCCCCACTTCCACTGGGGACCCCAGTCAAGGGAGTGGGGTCCTGGGCAGTGAAGGCTGGTGCCATTTACAGTTTGTGGATTGGAGGCAACAGCCAGGGCTGCAGTGTGCTGGTTGTGAGAGCTGCACCCCGCCCCCCCACGGGCCACCTCTCCTGTCACCCCCAGGGCTATGGCTTTTAGGGCCTTTGAATCATGTGTTGACACAGCAGCCCTGGCTGCTTCAGCTAAATTGAACCCTGGGGCCCCCAGTGGTGGAGATAATCCCCTGAATGGGCCAGGCCCCTGCCCTCCTCCCACCCTGGCTTTTCTGAGTGAGTTACTTAAAGCTGCTCACGACTCTCCTGGGCATGGGCCACCCACCCCCAGCTTCCCCGTGTGCTGGCCAGTGTGACCCTCTGCTGAGCCCCGCCCCTTGGGCCCGGTGGTTTACATGACGACTTTGCTCTGGGTACAGCAGGGTTTGAAGCAGAGCTCTTTGTCAGGAACCCTGCCCAAGGCCCTTGTGTTCACACATTCCTGTGCTGAATAAAGTGTGTTTGACCCTACCAGGGAGGCTACCTATCCTTGTGCCCACAGCCCCTATTTGCAGGCCCCTGCCCCTCCTCCAGCACGTCTGCTTTCCTGTGATCAGAGGCCACAGCTGCAGGCCGGCAGTTTGTGAAATTCTCACCTCAAGCTTCCCGGGTGCCTTCCCCTCCCTTGAGCCCAGCAGCTTCTCAGATACTGTCTCCGGTGGGGAGGGGACCTGGGGACCCCACCTCCTCTTCCTTTCCTGCCCCACCCACCCAGACAGCAGGGCATGAGGGGGCCTGGGCATCTGCCCACCCACCTCTCCCTCGTTTCCAAGTGTGCTTTCCAGGACTCAGGAGCCTGGATATTTTGAGCCCTGATGCCCTTGGCCTTGGTGTAAGTAGAGGCTCTGCGTAGGGTTCCTCAGGGCAGCAGGAGAATGTGAGGTGCTGAGGAAGGCAGGCGGCCGAGGAGCCAGCAGGCAGGGTGGGCAGGGAGGGCGCCGTCTCCCTTCTGACTGCCATGTAAGGCACCCACATTCTTCCTCCATGCCCTCCCTCCCCATTCCTCCTGGGGCCTCCAGGACAGGGGCTGAGCCAGAATGGGAGCAGTGGGTGCTCGTTTCGGCAGCACATATACAGAATGGGAGCGGTGTGCTGACAGCCGCTGCTCCAGGAGGGATGAGGGGGGCAGGAACACCCTGTTTCATGTTCCTTATCCTTGAGCCCTCTCCTCCCCGGCAGGCCACCTGCCCTGGAACAGGCCCTTGAGTGCAGCACCCCCACCTGGCTCCACGCATGAGCAGTCCAGGATGGGACTTCAGGTGGAGGAGCTCTTTTAGCCTCTGCTCTGTTACTGACTCAAAAGGGAGGCTTAATAAGGAATAGATATTTGGACTCAATGGAATAGAATTGAATTGAGAGTCCAGAAGTAAATAGATTTACTTTGTGGAAGATTGAGCTTCCACAAAGGGGCCAAGACAATCCAGCATGGAAAGAACAGTTTTCAACAAGTAGTATTTATACAACTGGGTATCCACGTGCGAAAGAACAAATTTGGAATGCAGCCCCCACAATGTATATAAAAATTAACTCAAAGTAGGTCGTGGACCTAAATGTAAAAGTTAAAAACTAAAATTCCTAGGGGAAATTATAGAATGTCTTCACGAGCTTGGGTTAGGTGATGATTTTTAGATACAACACCAAAAGCAAAGCGATAAAAAGATTAAAGAGGGGCGCCTGGGTGGCACAGTGGGTTAAGCGTCCGACTGTTGTTTTCAGTTCAGGTCCTGATCTCAGGCACGGCACTCAGCGCAGAGTCTCCTTGAGTTTCTCTCCCTCTCCCTCTGCCCCACCCCCACCTCTCTCTCTCTCTCTCTTAAATAAATAAATCTTAAAAAAAAAAAGATTAAAGATTAGGGCTGCCTGGGTGGCTCAGTCAGTTGAGCATCCAACTCTTGATTTCGGCTCAGGTCATGATCTCAGGGTCATGAGATCAAGCCCCTGCATTGGGCTCTGTGCTCAACACAAAGTTGGCTTCTCTCTTCCTCTCCCCCTGCCCCTCCCCCTGCCACATACGCACAGGCTCGCTCTCTCTCTAAAATAAAATAAATCTAAAAACAAAGATAAGGGCCTTAGTCTTACAAGGCTTTGTACTTTAAAGGACAGAATCCAAACAACCCTCACACTGGGAGAAACTGCAAATCATATCTAATAAGGGACATATCTCTAGAATATATAAAGAACTTTACAATTCAGTCATAATTATAAATACCTTAATTTAAAAGGTAAAATTAGGGGTGCCTGGCTCAGTAGAGTGCGACTTTTGATCTCGGGGCAGTGAGTTTGAGCCCCATGATGGGTATAGAGATTACTCTAATATCTTAAGGGGCGCCTGAGTGCCTCAGTCGGTTAAGTGGCTGCCTTCAGCTCAGGTCATGATCTCAGGGTCCTGGGATCAAGCCCGGCATCGGGCTCCTTGCTCAGCGGGGAGTCTGCTTCTCCCTCTGCCCCCACCCCTGGCTTGTACGCTCTTTCTCTAATAAATAAAAATCTTTAAAAAAAAAGTATTAAAAAAAGTTAAAAATATTTTTTTAATTTAAAAAATGAAAGGATTTAAGTAGGCATTTTTAGGAAAAAAACAACACAAATGAGCAATAAGCCCATGAAAAGATGCTTAGCATCATTAGGGAAATACAAATTAAATCTACAAGAGGATCTGCCACATCAAACCCACCATGAAAGGCAGTAATAAAGGGACAGTTACAAGTGTGGACAAGGATGTGGAGGAATTGGAACTGCAAGGGGGAGGGGGATGGAAAATGGTGTAGCTCCTGCAGAAAGCAGTCTGGCAGGTCTTCAAAATGTTGAACATAGAATTAACATGAGTCAGCAATTCAACTTCTACATATCTACCCAAGAAAAATGGGGGAAAAAATGCATACAAACTTGTACACAGGTGTGCATAGTGGTATTGGTCATTGCCCCAAAATGGAAGCAACCCAGATGTCCATTAGCTGGTGACTGGATGAGCAAACAGTGGCCTGTCCATACATATGATAGGTATTAGTCTACGGTGAAGAGGAATCTAGTACTGATACATGCTACAACATGGATGAGCCTCAAAAGCATTATGCTAAGAAGCCAGATGAAAGACCACATAATGTGTGATTCCATTTATGTGAAATGTCTAGAATGGGCAGATCCGTAGAGACAGATAGTAGATGGGCAGTTACCTAGGACTGGCTGCTGGATGGGGCTGGGGCTGGATTAAAATGGCAGCAGTGACTGCTAATAGATACCGGGTTTCTTTTGGGGAATGATGAAAATGTAAAATTAGATTATAGTGACAGTTGCACAACTCTGAATTTGCTAAAAAAAATTGAACACTGAATTGAACATTTATTTTTTTAAGATTACTTGTTTGACAAAAAGAGGGCCTAAGCAGGGGGAGCTGCAGACAGAGGGAGAAGCAGACTCCCTGCTGAGCAAGGAGCCCAATGTGGGGCTTGATCCCAGGACCCTGGGATCGTGACCTGAGCCGAAGGCAGACGCTTAACCAACTGAGCCACCCAGGCGCCCCCGAATTGAATATTTAAATCAGTAAACTTTTATGATCTATATCAGTAAAATGGGGCAGGGCACGGGAGACCTGGGGCTTCCACAGGGAGAAATTGCTCCCTTGCCCAGCAGAAAAGACCCGGACTGGCAGGTCATTGGCTAAGCAGAACTTGGGGGATCTAGTGGCCTTAGGCCACCTCCAGCTCAGCAGCTAAAGATGGACTGAGCAGGAACTGAGCCATGGAGGGGGGCAGGTACGGGGTGGGAATCCCAGGAACCCTGGGGTACGGGCGGGGGGGGGCAGGATAGATCCATGGCTCCTGTGTTTAAGGGACATGCCAGGTATCCTGATCCCCTTCTTACGGAATTCCTGCACCCCAGACCTCTGCTGAGTGAGTCTGTGCTCCCATCCAGGGAGTGCCCCACCTTGAGATACTGGAACAAGTGTGGGAGAGGGTGGCTTGGTGTTATAGAGAGAGGAGACAAGTCCATCAGCATTTGCAGGACCCTACTCTCCAACCTGTCCTTCACTGGGGGCCTGGGTAGGACTGCACCTCTTTCTGCCCTTAGGAGCCCTGGGTGGAAGGGCCATTGGAGCTCCCCTCAGATCCCAGATTCTCAATGACCTGCCTGTTCTCCGGGCTCCCCAGCTGACTCAAGGCATGTCTGGGTGTGGGCTGTCCCCTGGTGGCGAGACAAGGAAGGAGCCACACATTCCTCCTCCCATGCAAGGTGGGTGGGATCCTACAGGCTGTGACAGGCAGAAGGGAGTAAGTGACCCTGGAGGTATTCTGGGGTGCATAGGCAGAAGGTCAGGCTGGCCAGAAACAGAAGACAGATGGAGAATGGAGAGCCCAGCTCCCTTGTTCCACACACGTTAATTGAAAAATAAAGTGTGTCATGGTAAAATGATCAGACAGTACAAAAGGCCCTATGATAAAAGCCCTCCTCCCACCCTGAGAGTCCCAGTGCCCCACCCAAGGCAGCCACTGTTTACATGGCCTTTTTTGGGGTTTAAAAACACAAATGAGAGTTTGCTATACCCACTAGTTTGACCTTTAAATATAAATACATAGTTTGCAGAACATTAAGACAACACATTGTCCTCATCTTTTTTTTTTTTAGCAAATGATATTTCATCCAGTTGATGTACCTTAATTTCTTCAGCCAGCCCCCTCCTGCCCTCAAAGAGTTCCCAGCCTGGTTGGCAAGATGAGCAGAGACAGTGTGACTTGTCTGGAGTAATCCGTGAAGCTCCTGCCCAGCATCCATGAGCAGCATCCATGAGCTTGCGCCTTAAATGTGCTACCAAACCCCTGGAAGGTGTCCCTAATATTTTGCTGCAGCCAGCAACCGCCACCACTCTAGATGAATCCAGATCCCATAGAGAGGCACCCTGACCCGACAACCTGCAGCCCAACTCCCCCAACCCTTGTGTGCCTTAAGATCCAGAAATGCTGGTAAAATGGTCCTGGGAGGAAAGTCTGACAAGTCTTACCCAGAGCAGAGAGTGTTTGGAGGAGAAATTGGAGGGGAGTGGAGAGAGGCCCAGGGGCTATAGGCTATGGACCCAGGAGGGCACATCTCTCTGGGCTAGTCTTGGAGCTGCTCCCTGGGGAAGGGTGAGAACCTTCTGATACCAGGAACTGACTGGCAGCAGGCCTGCACCTCCCGCAGGAGCTGCTCACTGAGCTGGGAATAAGGCAGGGGGACTGCAGTTTGTGCCTGTGGCCGGGCAGGGGGCAGAGGAGCAAGGCAAGCTCGGTGGACTCCTGTGTTCTCTTTTGGTTCAGGCTCTGGATTCTCTGCACTGGCAACTCTTCCTCTGACCCCTCTCCTTTCTCTAAGCAGTTTCACTCAGGCCTGACAACCTGGAAAAAGCTACATATGCCTCCAAAAGGACCCAGAATCCTCTTAGAAAGTGTGTTCCTCCCAAAGGGCCCACCACTTCATGCCACCACATAGCTCCGCCTGACCCC